AGTTTATGAATTGCTATAATTTCTCACGGCATATGCTTCCCAAGAAAATTGTGGGAAATTAAACTAGTGCAGAGCATGAATAAGAACGCTAATTCATTTAAAACTGTTGAATTTCATAGGAATATTGGTTTATAGACCAAACACATAGAATTTCATATTCCCACTTTACCTACCAGATTTCTAACACCAAATATAAAACCTCAAATTGCTGAGATTAACTATCATGCACTACATTAAAATTAAGAATTTCTTACTTTATTGATAGAATTAATAATATTGAGTCTTTCAAAGAACCAAAGCATCATAAAAATGTAATTTTATTAATTATAATAAAAAGCGAGTTATAGCACATACAAAATATTAACTCTTTTTTTGGCACCACTTATTGAAACTCAACAGTAAATTGAGCTGGATGTTTTTTCTAACTTCTAGAAAATTACTCAGTGTTGGGATTAAAGAGCACGGGATATAGAACCAAGATTCCGGAAGTAAAAAGCCATTCCCACTTCCTTAGTGTTTTAACAGTGAGCAAATTATGTAACTTCTCCATAACATCAGCTTTCTCCTCTATAAAGTAATGATAAGATTAGCACCTATATATCATAGAGTTTCTAAAAGGATTAAAGGGGTTAACATTTATAATATACTTAGAAACAGAGCCTGGAAGATGGTATGTTTGTTAGAGGCTATTATCATAGATTATATTCAAGATCATAGAAAACACAATTTCCTAAAACATTTGTATTTTACTTTAAAAGTAAACCTGACTTAGAAGAATCAGAGTAATTACTTAGCAAACAAAACTATTTTACCGTTTTAGTCTTTTGTGAATTTGTCATTTGTTAATCACATTAAGTAAAATAGAAGCAGAGTGTTATTATTACTATTATTTTTTAGGATTGTTTTATGTATTTAAATTACCTGACTTAAATATTCCAACCCTGGTGGACAGTCTGATGGAGGTGGTGGTGCTGGCATCTGTGGTAGTCCTGCAGATCCACCTGGCTGATGATACATGGGTTGGTGTTGAACAGGAAAGCCCACTGGGCCAGCATCTGCCTGGGTTCCGGGATAGGCACCCAGTGGCCCAGGGTAGACTGTCTGTGTCCCAGGAAAGGCAGCTGGTGGGCCGTGGTAGCCAGTATGTCCTGGAGGTCCTGAAATATGAACAAGTGAAATAATTTGTAACTGCATTGAAAAATGGAATCACTGGCTCTTTTAGAATTACCTAAGTTATCTGCAAACTGAAATTTCAGTTTAGAATTCCTGTTTCTATGAACCTTAAAGTTTATTTTTATTTTTCAGAAAAATTTTTCAATGAAATATCTGTGGTTTCCTGTTGAATGGTTTAGAACTGAATACAGTTGGCCTAAGCCTTACAGTTCCATTGAATGGTTTAGAACCGAATACAGTTGGCCTAAGCCTTACTCTTATTATTCGAAAATCATCTGAAAATATGCTTGAAACCTAAGAATGGAAAAGAAAATCAACAATGATCTAGAGTCATTTACATAAACGTTATGGAACGTCTTCATGGATAAAAGAGATGACATTGAATAGAAGGCCCAAAATAAAGATTTTCAGCCAGAAGTTTTAGAACCAAGATCTCTATTAAAAAAAGAAAAAAGATAAAAAGGTAATTCTGGAATTCCAACAAATGGTATCTCTGGTATGTATAGCTGGGGATGGTTTTGGTTTTGTTCCCTCAAGGCATATTTGGCAAGGTCTGAAAATGTGTTTGGCTGTCGCAACTAGAGAGAAGGATGATACTGCCATCTGGTGGATAAAGGTCAGGAATGCTAGTAAATATCCTAAGATGTCCAGGGAAGCATCCTAAAGAAAAGGAATTACTCATCTCAAAATATTATTGTGCTGTTTTTGAGAAACCGTGATATAGAGGTAAAGGCATGTCATTTCTTCCAGTACTGTTCAGGTAATTTCTTGGCTTCACAATTTCCCTGGAGTTTTAATCCATGGTGTATTCCAATTCTAAAAGCCTCTACATGGAAACAACAACAACAACAACAACAACAACAACAACAACAAAACACTAGAAGAAAACAAGACAAAACAAAATAATCCATTATGATATTTAGGTGACAAATCTAAATTTCAAATTTTAGGACCTTCAGCTCTCTGGAAAAATAGTTTGAGAACCAAGAAAGGTAAGAAGTTGTAATGGGCAAAATTGTCTCAAGTGTTTAATAAGCACAGTAGAGGACAAATATATACAAATGTATACTCTATTTTCCACATGAATTTTGACTACAGTGAAGCTTCATAAGCTTACATGTGTAGTGCACAGAGTAGTACTTCCATAGGAATGCAATATAATTTCAAAGAACTGTGTTCTACAATATTTTAACAGTGAAGGCCTTGCAAAATTTAATACTTAGAATAGGCAATTTGTAAATACTTTTAAATGGAACACTGATGAAAAATACATACACCATTAAAAGTAAGACTTTGAATAGAGACTGAAGCATATGCTAATTTCTTTTAAATAGTATAGCTTTGGATAGTTACAGTCAAGATGACTGAATAGGATCATTGAGTGTTGGCTCCCTCTCAGGATCACATCAAAATTACAACTAACCTACAGAACAATTATCAATGAAAATCACCTGCAGTCTATCTTAAAAGAAGTTCTATAATTAAGGATATATAGAAGCCACTTCGAAACTGGTAGAAGGGGTGGAGTTGTAAAATAAACCATACCCACAAGTGATGGTTAAGAATCAAGAGGGATACCTCAGCTGAGGAGGTCTCCCCAGAGGTACATGGAGTCCCAGGTTCACACTGGACTCTCCAGTCTGGAGCATGAGTGCTGGGAAAAGAAGTCTCCACAACCTCTATCTGAAAACCAGTGGAGTTTGTGATTGAGTGAAACAAAGAGCTGTGGCAGTCTCAAGTATTCCTCTTAATAGGCCTGCATGGACTTATTTACTCTGAGTTTCAGCTCTGGTGCATCAGCTTAGAACTCACTAGGGACATAAAGGCAGAAAGTGAATTGTCTGGCTCCAAGGAAGGGCTGAAATAGCAGCTTTCTACCAGACAGATTCTCTGGTAAAATCCATTGTTCCTTTGTAGAGCCCTTCCTGCTCCTGGCATATAGACACAGGTAACTGCCATATTTGAGTCACCATCAACCTGGCTAATACTGGTCATCCAGCCCTGGTGATTCCTCAGCCACCAAACTTTTGGGCCCATCCAAGCCACTTCCAGCAGCTCTTCTATTAAAATTGGCCTCTCTTGGCTCATTATGAGAACTTTTCTAAAAACTCTCAAAAGTTCACAACCCCAGTCAAGCAGCATCTGCCCTGACATGGCCCATACCTCTTCCTGAGCAGCCCCAAGCCTGGCACTAGTGGCAGCTGGCCTTAATTTACATATTAGCCTCTTCCAGGCACCTCCAAGCCCAGCACAGGTAGAATACATCTGCAAATCACTTTTGGCCCCTCCTAGGAGGCCCCAGGGCCAGCATGTTTTGTGACCACTTCAGACTGAGCCTAAGCATCATCCTCCTGCCTCTACAAATGACTTATCCAAAGAGAAGACTGGGCAGGCACCAGAGCCCTGCTAGGGCAAATCCTGCTCTATAGGGTCAGCCCCTGAACAACAGCTCCTCCATGGTAGTCACAACCAATCCTAAAAATCAATTATACTGAGTGTGAATCCCTCCCATTGATGTGCAAACAGTAACTAAGTCTCAATTACTACAGGAGGGCACACACAACCCACACAAAGGACACACATCTGGAGCACCCAGATAAAATGACCAGGGAGTCTGTGTCACTGGGCCCTTAGGACACCTATTATATAAGGCCACTTTACTAAGAAATAGCAGCTATATCTCATACATTAAACAAACACAGAAAGGCAGCCAAATTGGAGAGACAAAGATACACGTCCCAAACATAAGAATAGAACAAAGCTCCAGAAAAAGAACTAAACAAAACGGAGACAAGTAATCTACCAGATGCAGAGTTTAAGGTGCTGGTGGTAAGGATGCTTAATGATCTCAATGAGAACTTCAACAAAGAGATATGAAACATAAAAATGGAGAAAAATCATAAAAAAGAACCAGTCACAAATGAAAAATGTAATAACTGAAATAAAGAATATTAGAGGGAATCAACAGTAGATTAGATGATGCAGAGGACTGAATCAGCTATTTTTAAGGTAAGGTAGCAGAAAACGCCCAATCAGAACAGCAGGAAAAAAAAAATCCAAATATTGAGGACAGTTTAAGGGGCCTCTGAGCCAACATCAAGCATACCAACATTCACTTCATAGGGGTACCAGAAAAGAAGAGGGAGAATAAGGAATTGAAAACCCATTTGAAGAAATAATGATGGAAAACATCTCTAGACTTACAAGCCCAGGAAGCACAAGAATCTCAAATAAGATGAACCCACAGAGACCCACACCAAGACACACCGTAATTAACATGCCAAAGTTTAAAGATAAAGAGGGAATCTTAAAAGCAGCAAGAAAAAAGCAGTTAGTTACCTACAAGGGAGTTCCGATAAGACTGTCAGCTGATTTCTCAACAGAAACTTTGCAGGCCAAAAAAGATTTAAAGTGATGAAAAGCAAGGACTTACAACCAATATTACTTTCTCCATCAAAGCTAATGTTTAGAATTAAAGAACAGATAAAGAGCTTCCCAGACAAGAAAAAGCCAAAGGAATGCATCACCACTAAACCAGTATTTCAATAAATGTTAAAGGGATTTCTTTAAAAAGGATAAGAATAAATATTAAAAATATGAATAATAAAATGACAATAACTACATATCTGGCCACAATTAGTTTAAATGTAAATGGCTCAAATGCGCCAATCAAAAGACATAACGTGGCTAAACTGATTAAAAAAGAAAACCCTTACATACCCTCCCTACAAGATACTCACTTCAGATTTAAAAACTATGTATAGACTGAAAGTAAAGGGATAGAAAATATATTTTATAAAAATGAAAATGGAAAAAAGTTGGGGTAGCAATTGTAGTACCAGACAAAACAGACTTTAAAATAGGCTGTAGAAGAGATGGAGAAGGACCCAGTAATCCCCCTTCTGGGTATTTATTCAAGTAACACAAAACACTACTTTGAAGGGACACATGCATTTATGTGTTCATTGCAGCATTATTTACAATGGCTGAGATGTGGAAGCAACTTAGTTTCCATCAATGAATGAATGAAAAAAGAAGAGGTGGTACATATATACAATGGAATGTTATTCAGCTGTAAAAAATTTTAAAAAAGAATGAAATCTTGCCATCTGCAACAACATGGATGCAGATGGAATAAGTCAGATAGAGAAAGACAAATGTCATACGATTTCACTTATAGGCGGAATCTAGAAAGCAAGATAAACAAACAACAGAAACAAGCCCATAAAGATGAAGAGCGTTTTGATGGTTGCTGAATTGGGGGGCAGGAGGATGAGTGAAGATGGGAGGTGATTAAAAAGTACAAATTGGCAGTTACAAAATAGTCATGAGAATGTGGAGTATAACATGGGGAATACAGTCAGTAGTTTTGTAATAATTATGTGCAGTGTCAGATGGGTACTAGATTTTTCAGGGTGATCACTTCATAAGTTAAATAAATGTCTAATCACTGTGTTGTATATTAACTATAATTGAAAAAATAAAAATATGAAAATTAAAAAATTACTATAGCTTTTATAATTCATTCCTTTTACAACAAACAAATATTTACAGATGATCTATAATATAACTGACTTCCAGAATCAGAGAATACAGCTATCAGCAAGGCAACCTGCTCTCATGCAGCTTACAAGCAATTTTTGTGAGAAAGAAAATACATTTTTAACCCATTTCCCATTTGCCCTGCCATAACTCACAGATTACAGTCTTAACCTTACCCCTGAAGTTTGCCATGAAATAAATTGCTTTTATTATTATTTTCATATCACTCTAGTATATTGATATTCTTTGGATACAAATGACATCATTCTATTCATAGCATTCCGTTTTTAATAGTTCGATTGCTAAAAATGTCAAATCCTAGAAAATGTAGAATTCCTACACGGGTTGTGCTTTTTTGTCTAAATGGGGAAAGTTACCTAAAAAGATTTCGGATTGAACTGATGGAGGAATATGTGGGGGAAAGGGAAAAGTATCAAGTAGTTACTTTTAAATAGATAAAATTTAAGTTGAGAACTAAAAGATGAGAAGGGAAATGCTTTGTGTGGAAATCTGGTGAGAAATGTTCCAAGAGGAAGGGAAATCAAATGCAAAAGTCCCTGACTTTAGGAATGAATTCTGCATGATTGAGAGAGGAAGACCATGAGAGAAAGAATAGAAACATCTGTCAGTAAAGAAACAGGAGTGGTTCATCTAGGGAGCCCCTCAATAAGGAGTTTGGATTTTACTCCAAGTGTGGTTGACAGGCGTCAGAGAATTTCAAACAGAAGAGTGAGATGCATGGTCTAATTTATATCTTTAAAATTTTTTAGGAGTGCAGAGCACTAGGATTTAAAATGAGATATGCAGATGAAAATCCCTGCCCTCATTGTCTAATGGGAGAGAGAACTTTATACTCACCCCTACTGTAAGGAAATATAACACCAGTGTGACTGATTAATTAGAATTGGAAATAAGTCATTTGAAGAAAGGGACCAGAGTTGTATGACTATATTTGCCAAAGGAAGGTGTTTGGATGAGGAGAATGAAAGGGAAGGACTTGGGACAGCTTCCCTGAGGACCAAGGGATGAAAGGAGTTGAGTAGGTCAGCAACACAGAAAGAACAGTTCTGAGAGAAGCCCTAGGATACTAACAAACATAGGGCCTTTCAAGTCAGAGAAAAAGGACTGTCTATCTGAACAATAGAGAGCCAGGTTTAAGAGGCAATTAAAGGGAAGGCAGGGGAGCCCCCAGGACCTGGTGGCAAAATTAAACATTTAGCCTCAAGCTTAAAAGCAATGGGAAGCCAATAGAGGCTGAATACTCTTTGTAATATGAAGAGACTTGTATTTTTAAGCTCACTGGCTACAGTGCAAAGACTAGACTAAAGGCAACTGGGGATGTGGAGATGTGAGTTAATGCATAACAGTATCAGCATTACTGTAATCTTAAACTCTTGGAAAGAATGGATGATTGATTATCCCTCAAATCAATAGATTAGGCATATAGAATCACCTGAAATTTGATAATAGTTTTAGTTTATATTAAGTTCAATTGATTTAACATACTAATAAAGTTAGCAAATATTTGTCATTTATTATTTGTAGAGTTTTGTGCTAGATGTTTTTACATAAACTTTCATTTAATCTCCTAACCAAACTGAATTGAAAAATATTCTACTTTATAGATAAGAGGCTTGGAGGTACTAAATAGTTGTTTGGTGGGTAGCCCTTCTACTTGTAAATTTGGGTGCACCATAAACTATCCATTTAGTAAAGTTCTGGTCATTTTGATAACTGCATTTTTTGTATAAATGAAAATCCCTGAAATTTTTTATGAACTTGTTCAAAAAAATGTACTCCTTAGTATGTAGTGATATGATTGAAACACTTTTCTTACAAATGCAAGGCATGACATAGACTATCTACAAAAGGGAAGCTTTCACAAAGCTTTTACTACAAAATAAAAATAATAATTATCCCCAGGTGGATAGATTATATTGCTTGCAGCTTCATTTTAAGCAGTCGTCACTTTTTTTGTGTGACTCGCTGAATACCATTAACCTCATGTGCTTTTTACACATGACTCAAAAACATTCAAGGATAAATTTTCTAAATGTGATCACATGATCACAAGTTTCTGAAAATATGGATAATTAAAATATTTTGTTTAATATGTGTATTTGGGGATTTAAGTTATATGCAGCTTTATATTTCATTGGCTACATGTAAACTCACTATGATTTTTATTAACTCTATACAGTTACTATCCTGTATAAAAATTACTTCAATGATATTTATGATAATGTATAGGCAAACAATACAAATCAAGAACTAGGCTGCTAAGTTCTTTATTGCACTTTCAACAAAATGCACTATTGCAATAAATAGACAGACAGAAACATACCCTTTGGGAAATAACAGCAATTGATTAATTTTGGTTTTTATTTTTTAAACAAATATTTTACCTTGAAATGCTGCTGGAGGATTTTGAGGAGGATACTCAGTTGGTGAATTTGTTTCTGGGTGAGAAGCATTCATTTGCACATCTGTAACCCAAGAAGAGGTAAACATATATCTGCTTCAATAAAATATATGTTAGGAAGAAAAATACAATGTCTATAGATAAGTTTCATTTGTATGATCTTGTGCTATATTGAAAGAAAGTGAATTCTTCTCTTAACAAAAGCTATGCCTGTTATCAGAGTTATTTTGCAGTAGAATCCTGTTTCAAACAAATTCCCTTTTAAATATCATAAGAGAGTTGAGTTACCAGGGTTGATTGAATTTCTAATTTTCAAATATGCTTGATGAGTGTTCACTTCCATACTCTGATTTTGTTGGTATTAGAAAAAATATTGTTCTAAAACCACTATAGACTGTGAAGAAAAAGATAAATAAAACTAGGTGGATGTGAGGATGGTAATAGAAGGATTATGGATGATTTTAAAGATATCTATAATCATTACTATAGGGATTTTTTAAATATTTAAAATAATGTATCTATTTCTGTATTTAAATATCCTTTTGATGCTTGCTCTGGAACTAGGAAATTCCAATATGTGACTTATACAAATCATGACTGACTTAACTACAATAAACTAACACATTAAACATTGTTATCTGCTAATCAACGTGCCTAAAATAATCTTAATATATGTACAAATGGTTCAACTCTAGTTCTTCATATTTGTGTTTCTCTAGTCATTCATTTAGCAGCCAGACAATAAATATTTACTGAGAGTCTCCTGTGTCACCCATGAGTTAGGCTCTGGGGCTACATTGGTTCTGCCTTTATGGAACTTCTGGTCCAGTGGACACTACACTTATACCATGTTCTCTTCTCTTTCCTTATGACTTACTAACTGTAAATTCAAAAATTTCTTTTTGAATTATGAAGACATAGCATGAATATAGAAGAAAAAGTTGGTCAAAAGTTGTGATATTTTTCCTGTATGCTTCTCTTTCATGAACCTTCAAAGATCACTCAACACATGTGGTTTTGACAGGAAGACTGGACTGTGGATCCCCTTTCTCCTCCATTCAATTGGCTTCATAATAATGTCAGCAGAATGGAGTCCCTGGAGGCTATTCAAATTCAGGATACTGAGAATCCTCTACTTCCATATTGGCTTTTCTCTGAACAGACACTGCAAGATACCCTGAATTATCACAGATCTCTGATATACCACAAGCCATTCCATCCCAACCGTTCTTTCTGTTTCTCAGCTTCAGTTGAGTGGCCTAGCTCCTAGTTCTCTAGTTCTCAAGGCTCTGCCACAGCCTCTGCCCCCAACCTGTGTTGGTGATAACAGGATCATACTCAACAGATCTCAAGAAAACACACTTCAAGCCTGACTTAAAGACCTACCCTTGAGGAGTGATGTCAGAAATATGGCAGAGTGATAGACATCTCCAGATCTCTCTCTTTGAAACAACACTAAGCTGAACATCTAAAACTCAACAAAAAAAACACCCAAACTGCATATCAGCATATCTGAGCATGGAATCTGCACATAAGAGCTACCACAGGTAAGAACCCTGGGTGTCGGGCAGTAGACTGGGAGAAACAAAGAAGTTGCCTCTCGCAGCCAAAGCTCCCTGTAGGAGGATGAAAGAGGGGAGAAGGTGCTGTGAATTCCCTGAAGAGCCCTGCCTGGGATAGCTGGGAGCTAAACACAGCTGGCGGGAGTGCCCAGTCGTCTGGGCAGAAAGCAGAGAATGAGGATGGCAGAGAAGTAGGGATGGCAGAGAAACAGCAGTTGATTTTTACCAGTTGTGGTTGCAAAGCCGAGGCTGAGATGCACTTAGCATCCCCCAACCCAAAGTGCCCCTCCCCCCATGCCATCCAAAACTGAACACTGTGGAGCCCCAGGGGAAGTTGAGCAAATGCTACCAAAATCATCACTAACACTGACAGGGACTGAGACTGAGAGTAGTGAGTGTGATTAAATATCTATAAGGGGGAAAAAAAGGCATTATTAAAGCTTTATATAAAGCAAGGATCCAAGAAGCTTAGACGTCACCTACTGGAAAACAAAAGAAAAATGTCTTCTTTGCAACAGGCTAGAGAGACCTTTATATAATAAATCTTCTTTCTGGGAAAAAGAAAAAAAAGCAGAATACACTTCCATTAATGTCAAGGTTGAGAAATAGTCCATTAAACACCATGAACAACCAAGGTGACAAGGCATCTCAGGAAGGAAAAGAAAAATCTCCAGAAAATAAGCTTACAGACATAGAAATATGTGACTTAAATGACAGAAACTTCAGATGGTACTTCTGAAAAACCTCAGAGAGATCCCAAACAATTCATATCAACAATTTCAGGAATTGAAAAAAAAAAAAAAAAAAAACTAGATAAGCAGAATCAGTTCTTTAGCAAGGAGATTGAAACCTTCAAAAAGAACCAAATAGACCTTCTGGAGATAAAGAACATACGGCAAGAATTGAAAAATGATCTAGCAAGCTTGGGAAACAGAGTCGACAAAATGGAAGAAGGAATCAGTGATATCACAGAAACGTAGAAATAAATCAGAGAGAAGAAGAGAGAAACCAAAGAATGAAAAATAAAATGAAAGAGAAATACAAGAAGTAGCTGATACCATCAGGAGAGGAAACATAAGAATAATGGTCATTCTCAAAGGGGAGAAAAAAGAGCAGTGATTAGAAAGCATTTTCAGACAAATAGTTGACAAGAATTTCCCAAATCTGAGGAATGAGCTGTAGCTTGGAATTTAAGAAGTCAACAGAACACCCAATTATCTCAACCCAAAAAAGGCCTTCACCAAGACACATTGTATCAAAATTATCAAAAATCAATGACAAAAACAGAATTCTTAGGGCAGCCAAGAAAGAGAAGATGGTAACCTATAAAGGAAAACCCTTTAGATTGTAATCGGACTTCTCAACACAAAACTTAAAAGCCAAAAAGTAATGCAATCAAATATTCAAACTATTAAATGAAAGAAACTACCAGCCAAGAATAATGTATCTAGCTAAGCTCTCCTTTAGATTTGAAGGAGAAATAAAGACCTTTCCAGACATATAAAAATTGAGGGAATTCTCTACTACGAGGCCTGCCTTATAGGAAATACTGAAAGAGGTCAGCTACCTTATAAAAAAATAACAACAACAACAAAATACATAACGAGGAGTAAGGCGACTAACAGACTGACAGAAGCAGAGGAATGCAACCCTTACTAAGAACAAGGCTATTATAACCTAAAACAATAAGAAGAGATCTGCTATAGCAGGAGAATAATGATGGTTCAGCATATATAGGGACAAATCGAGACAACAATGACTGAAAGGGGAGGATTCAAAGATCCAAATTCACAAAGGGGAATGGAAATAAGGCACATGCAGAAGGAAAAGAAGGACTGTATGTGTGTATATATACATATATATATAAACATACGCCAAAGATTCAGAACTGATGTATATAACATAAAACAAGAAGAATCAGAGGGAAATAAAACCCAAACAAAATTAAAAAAAGAAATAAAACAGGCACACAAGGACAAGGAAGCAATGGAAAAACTGAGATACCAGAAAGCAAAAGATAAAATGGCTATAAGAAGACCTCATATTTCAATAATCACCTTAAATGTAAATGGACTGAATTCACCAATAAAAAGGCACAGAGTTGCAGAATGGATCAAAAAAACAAAACCAACCATATGCTAGCTCCAGGAGACACATCTCAGTTTCAAAGATAAATATAAACTCAAAGTGAGTTTTATATTCCAAGCAAATGGCATTCAAAGACAAGCGGCAGTAGTGGTGGTAATATCAGATAAAATAGACTTCAAAATAAAAAAGGCAAAGAAAGATATTGAGAGACACTTCATAATGACAAAGGAAATCATGCAACGAGAAGACACGACACTCTTCAAAACTTATGCTCTCAATCAGGGAGCCCCAAAATATATAAAGCAGGGATCCAAAGCAATTACTAAAAGAACTAAAGAGAGAAACAGACCAAAACATTATTGTAGTGGGGACCTAAGTACCCCACTGTCAGATATGGAAAGATCATCCAAACAGAAAATCAATAAGAAAATAACATCCTTAAATGACACAAAACATTTGAGACACGACAAAAATGGTCATAAGAGGAAAGTTCATATCATTACAGGCCTATCTCCAAAAACAAAAATGAGCCTAAATAACCTAACACTTCATCTTAAAAAAACTAGAAAAGGAAGAACAAATGAAGCCTAAAGTCAGCAGAAGGAAAGAAATAATCAAAATCAGAGCAGATATAAATGATATTGAAAAAAAAACAAAAAAAATAGAAAAAATAAATTCAACAAAGACCTGGTTCTTAGAGACGGTTAATAAAATTGGCAAACCCATGGCTAGACTCACTAAGGAAAAAAGAGAAAAGACACAAGTAAACAAAATCTGGGAGGAAAGAGGGCAAATTAAGACACACACCGCAGAAATACAAAGGATGATACAAGAATATTATGAAAAAGTATATAACACCAAATTTAGTAACCTAGAAGAAATAGACCAGTACTTAGAAAAATACAACCTTCCTAGAATGAATCAAGATCTGGAAAATCTAAATAGACTGATCAGCAGTATGGAAATTGAAACGATGATCTAAAACCTATCAAAAAGTAAAAGTCTGGAATCCAATGGCTTCACCAGTGAATTCTACCAAACATTCAAAGAAAATTTAATACCTATTCTCCTCAAACTCTTCCAAAAAACCAAATAGAAGGAAATACTTCCCAACTCATTTTATGAGGCCAATATTACCCTAATACCAAAATCTTGTAAAGATAACAGAAAAAAAGAGAACTACAGACCAATATCCCTCATGAACACAGATGCAAAAATCTTAAATAAGATACCAGCAAACCGAATACAGCAACATAATAAGAAGATTATACACCATGATCAAGTGAGCTTCATCTCGAAGGTACAGGGATGGTTCAGCATACGCAAATCGATTAATGTAATACACCACATAAACATTAAAAAGTAAGAATCATACGATCATAAAAAGTAAGAATCATAGATGCAGA